GGGGTTAACGGTCAGATATACTGGGATGGAAATCATGACTCCATCATACAGCAGTTAGTATATTATTACAATAATACATGGCATAGAACTATAAACATGAAACCGGTGGAAATGAAAAATGATATTTCAAAAGAATGGGAATATATTAGAAAGCAAATGGAAAAGTTAAATGATGTTAAACGTGAACAAATTAATTCGGGGCTCATGAATTTTAAACAAGGAAATAAAGTTTTAATTCATCTCGATTATGGAAAAACTGATAAATCAATGACAAAAAGAAGACGAAGATTTGACACAATAGCTGAATTTGTTAGATATATTAACGGCAATGCATTAGTTGAAGTTGACAAGAAATTAATAGAAATTCCGATTTATTTTATTACTCCATTATATTTAAATAATATTTAATTTTTTTTATTTCGTAAGAAATGAGTGACAACAAAGCAGTCAAGTCCAGACAATGAATATAAAAAGAAACTAAACAGAATTAAATCAAAAATATGCTATTACAAAAAGAAGTCGCAATGCGGTGGGGTTGAAAACAATAAAACTAATGGAACTGAAAACGATAAAGAGAGGAAAGAAATAATCGAAAAATTAGAAACTTACCGTTCAATAATTAAACTGAGTGAAGCAAAAATAAAAGAATTTAATAGAATAAATAAATTGGTTGGAAGAGATGAATTTAATAAAGATGAATTTTTAAACTCTATCCAAATTTAATTTTTATTCCTCTTCGACAACATCTCTCTTTCCATCATTACTGCATAACCACATTTTCTCAATTTTAGTGGTTTGTTATTTTTAACATGTTCTTGCATCATTTTTATCATTTCCTCCCTTGTTATGATTCGTGGTAAATTTTGAGCTTGTGGGGTATCCATTTATGATAAAAATAAAAATTTGTTATCACTTATTTTATCGTTAATGGTTTCAGGTCATTCAATAATTAATTATTTTTGAAGAACTGAAGGTGCTACCATGTTACCATGTGCTACCAGGTTAATTAACTTCTCTGAAAAAATGAGACAACATGACATTTTGACAACAACACAGGAGGAAGGCAGTTATGAATTATTTTTGAAGAACTGAAGGTGTCACCACGTCACCATGTGCTACCAGGTTAATTAACTTCTCTGAAAAAATGAGACAACATGACATTTTGACAACAACATAGGAGGAAGGCAGTTATGAATTATTTTTGAAGAACTGAAGGTGTCACCATGTTACCATGTGCTACCAGGTTAATTAACTTCTCTGAAAAAATGAGACAACATGACATTTTGACAACAATCCTGGAAATATGATGCAGTCCAAAAATAAAGTTAGTTTTAAAATTATTTTTATTTTTTTATTCCTATATAAATGACAGCAACAAACAACAACAACAACAACTATATCGTTTCTGATGAAAAAGTTATTGATTCATTAGCTGAGGAATTAGTTGTGGCAGAAACTAAAACCCTCAACGAAAGAATTGGTGAAAACAAGATTGATTTACATAACTACCTCAAACATGATGGAGGAAGAGGAAGGAAAACTGGTGTGGCTTTATTAGTAAATAAAATTTCAAATTTAACGATTATAGATGTTGATATCAATAAATCATACAATGATGAACTTAAAGAAACAGTTAGAAAAGATATTTTATCAAAACTTTCGGATAAAGATGTTATCGTTAAAACCGCATCAGGAGGTCTTCACATTTATTGCAACACTAATTTCTTCTATTCAACCTCGAACAGAATGATTAAATGTTATTCCTGCAATGATTATGATATTGACATAATGACTTCTATGAATGATTCAAAGCGTTCTTTAGTGGTTATGGCTGATTCAAGAGTTCGAAAGAATGCAACAGAACCAATCAATACATACTCATTCATTCGTGGAAGTTATGATTCAACATTAACTAGAACAGTGAATGATATATTAAATGATTTGAATATTAAGGTAAGAGTTGAACAGAAGAACGAAGAAATAAAGATTATCATGAATGAAAACAAAGATGTAAACATTGACGATAAACTTGCCCAGAGCATAGTTGATGGCATCTGTGATTTTGAAGTACATAATGACGGTGGAAACATGAATTTAGAAAAAGAAATAACATTATTCACACTGTTTCAAGCAATTAATTCGTTACCTAATCATTTAATTAATGAAGCATACGATAACGTTTATAACTTCTGTAATTTAACTGAAAATGCAAAAAGTAATTTTGAAAAAGCACGTAGTAGATATGCACATTTAATGACTTCTCCATTTGTTTTAGTGAAGATTCTAAAACTTTATCAAAAGGAATATTATGATGAATATGTTTTACCTTTATTACGTAAGCCAAAAATAACATTTGATATAAAACTTGATGACTCGTTTTTGATAACAGATATTAGACGCAAGGCTGAAAATCATCAGTATAAAAACAGTTCTGAAGTAATTGAGGATTTATCACGTGTAATCCGTTTTGTAGATTATGGAAACAAATACTTCATTCAGAAAGATTACAACATACACGACAAAATGAATCAAATATCATTTGTTCTTCAGTCAAACATGAAAGAGTCACTCAAAATGATTAAATTATTTAAAGAAGAAGGTAAAACCATAACAGCATGGGATGTACTACTAAATCAATTGTCTTCATTAACCGTTAAGGGTGTTTGCTTTAAATCTGATTCTCCAGATGTTTTCTCAACGTTTCAGGGTTATAAATACAACATTCTCGAAAAAGTAGATTACTCAAAAATTGAGATGTTTATGAATTTCATTAAAGAAGCCATTTGTGATAATAATGATGAAGTGTATAAATACCTTCTCGGCTGGATTGCACCAATGATTCAACATCCTGGAATCAAGAATGAAACAGCAATTATTTTGAAAGGACTTCAGGGAACAGGTAAAAACAGATTTACAGATATTATTTCTGAACTTCTCGCTGGTTATTCATGTAAAACATTACTGAAATAAGTGAGCTAACGGGTAATTTCAACTCAGTAGTTGAAAATAAAATGTTTCTTGTACTTAATGAACTCAAGAATGTAGGTGAAGACAGACTCGCAAACTTCAACGCTTTGAAATCAATTATAACGGATAATGAGATTAGAATTAATGAAAAGAATCAACCCAGAAGAACTGCTCAGAACGTTGCAAACTTCATTTTCGTAACTAATAACGTTTACCCTGTCAAAATTGAAGTTGGAGACAGAAGATACGTAGTTTTAAGAGTTAATGGTAAATTCAAGGGTCAATTTGATTACTTCAAGAATTTAATGGATTCATGCACAAAGGAATTTTATGATAATTTACTGACGTATTTTATGCAATATGACCTTTCATCATTTAATGTACGAATCATACCGATGACTGAAGCCAAACAAGATTTAATAGAATTATCATCAAATCCTTTAGATGTATGGATAAATACACATTATGATGAATTGTGTGCAGGTATGACGTGTGAAAATGCTCTATTCTGCAAACCATCAGACATGAAAGACAAGAATTTCAAATGAGTATTAAGGATAAATGTGATAGGAAACATAGAAGAATAGACGGTAAACAAACATGGTGTTATGTTTTGAAAGAAGAAATGAAAGGATTATATAAACAGGTTGAACCAAACGATAATGAGGATTCATTTACTGACGATGAAATACCTGTAAATGAAGCTTTATAAAGTATGATTGGAATTTATTTTTGCCTTCCTCCTGTGTTGTTGTCTAAATATCATGTTGTCTCATTTTTTAAAAGAAGTTAAATGACCTGGTAGCACATGGTAACATGGTAGCACCTTCAGTTCTTCAAAAATAATTCATTATTGCCTTCCTCCTGTGTTGTTGACATAATGTCATGTCGTCAACATGGTAACATGGTAGCACCTTCAGTTCTTCAAAAATAATTCATTATTGCCTTCCTCCTATGTTGTTGACATAATGTCATGTCGTCAACATGGTAACATGGTAGCACCTTCAGTTCTTCAAAAATAATTCATTATTGAATAACCTGTAAACATTAACGTAAACATTTATTTCTGCAGTTCATTCATTACTTCATTACCTAATTAATTACAAACATAAAATATATTTAGTTCATTCAATGAACGCGGTAAGCCTGCAAAGTAGGCTCAAGCACATTCAATAAATGCGGTACCATGCGAATACAGTCACAAATGGTGGATGTAATCTTTACCCGAGCCTGTTGTGATTTGTTGTGAAAGTGTGTGAATGATTTCCTGTGGTTCCACAGAAAATACCTGCGCTTGAATCTACTGGGTCGCTTGAAATATCATATCTATCCATTCCCTGTCTATCCGAACCTGCTGCAAGATTTCTATAACCTCTTTTTGTTATTGAATGTGAATGATTACCTGTTGTGTTTGTAGTTCCCGTATAAGTGTGCGGTGGAAGGTTTGCTTCAGTAATTTTCTTCGAACCTCCTGTTTCCTTTGAAGAGTTCGCACAATAGAGGAATTTATCTACAATCTGTTCCCACGCACCAAAACCTAAAACTTTTGAAGGATTTGTTGAGTTCATTGACGTATAAATAGAACCAATGGGGTAAATCATCTCAAGAATTGTATTTAATCCATTATGAATATTGAATTTATTATATAATATTGAATTTGGGTGAGTATTTAAAACTGGTCTTGTTATCAATATTAACGTATTATTTTTGAAAATTTTTTCTAACATCTTGAAATTTTGTGATTTCAGACCAGTTTCTTCCATCACTACTGATATTTACTAAATCACCACATCCTAAAGCAATGAAATACCCATCAATATAAAATAAATTTGTAAATCTATAATTTTGAGTAAATTTTGGAGTGAATGAATAAACCAATTCCCAATTTGACAAATCCTGTGATAAATAAATATGTCTGTTATAACTTACAGGATATGAATAGACCATTTCACCTGAAACGAGAACATAAACATTTGATCCATAACATAAAGCTTCAATGTCTCCATCAGCTTGAAAAATTTGTTCAAATTGACCTTGTGATATTGAAGATGATCTATAAATTTTATCATTTTGTAGGATAAAATACATGTTGTTAATGTAATACCACTTACTTGTATAATCAATTTTCAAATCTGATGACATCATACTAAACATATAATAATTTATCCCATCCTCACTAATGAAAATTTGATTGACTTCATAAATTAGTACCCATTTATTATTAACACATCTAATAGGATTATTTGGATATTTAAATTTAGCATCTTGATTTAAATTACATTTGAACCATTGGATACAATCGAATGAATAACAAGGGCAAAAATCATCTTCAACCGTTATCATTCCCATAAATTTACCGTTATTATATTCAACATATAAAATTCTTGGATTAATGATTGGCTTTCGTGTATCAGGATTCAAAACAGATGGAGTAAATGATTCATAGTTTTGAAAATCATTTGTTTTAAAATAATAAAGCACTCCATCTGTATAAAATAAATACATGGTCACTCCATCGAAACATATCCATTCAAAAGAATCTATATCAAAGGTTTTATCTGATGATTTCATAAAATTTAAAAATGGAGGAGTAAAATAGACCTCTGATTGTTTTAATTCAGCGTTAACATATTCCTTATCCGCTTTCTTCTCTAACGCAGCAGCAACACATTCCTTATCCGCTTTCTTCTCTAACGCAGCAGCAACACATTCCTTATCCGCTTTCTTCATTATGTCATTTAGGAAACCTTTTATGAATTCCTCATTTAAATTAAATCTTCCAATCTTCAAAACTTTAGGAAATGCATTTAATGCGTAATATCTCTGTTCTTCTGGTGGAATTGATGTTATATCATCCGTTATACCTTTAATTTTTGAATTCATAAATAAAATTTCTTTTATATTTGATATCACTGCACCACCCTTGCAAACGAATTCGAAATGGTCATTTTTCAATACTATCTCCAAATCTCCATATTTCAACCTTTGCGTTTGTTCTGCCGTCTTTGAATTATATGCATATATGGCGTATGTAATGGTCTGAGGGACCTGGGTGCTTTGTACCTTAAGTTGCTGTGGTTGCTGTTGTTTAATCATTTATTATGATTAAAAAATAAATATTTAATCTGTTATCTCATCACCTATTTTTTCTATTTGAAATTGCCATAATATTTCATTCATGAATTCTAAATCACAATCAAATAGGTCAGTTACTCTAAATTTAATATTTGATAAATCTTTTGAATGAAGAATAAATGAATTCCCGGATAATTGAAACGGATATGATAAAAAAATATGTTTAAGTTGATGGATAAAATGTTTTGTATTGATGGGTAAGAGTTAGGGTCTAATGTTTGATGTGAAAATCTCATTGGGGTATTAACTTTATCACATTTGATTAAAATGAAATTGGAACCAGTGTCAGAATACAAAACATCCCCAACATCTTTTTCAAAATTTAATATCCCCAACAATGAACGAAGATGAGGAGTACAAAATTTAATTTTCAGCGGGAATTTAATAAGGTTATTTATTTCATCAAGTTCAAAAAGTTTATCAGGTTTTGATTTAAAATTTTCTTCATACCATACGATAAATGATTCATTTAAATAACTTAAAATCATGTTAATATCCCATTTCGCTATCACATTATTTATATACATATCATACGTTTTTTCAAGGTCATCTTTAATAAATGATATATAATCTGAAGGGTCTAAAAGAATGGGATTAAATTTACCACTCACAGAAATGAGAGTAACATTATAAATTCCGCTAACTGTTAAATTTAATTCACAGTTATTATTCGAAATAATATTGATAATTGACATTTTTATTACGATTAAAAATATGGTAAAGCGTTATTTTCCAGTGATAAATAAAACTAGAATAAGATTACCTCAAGAATTCATAAATTCAACGAATAAGAAATTCATTCATGTTATAAATTTTAGTGTTTTCAGAAAATATGAGTCAATGTCATATTCATCATCGGGTTATATTTCACTTCATTCAAATTTAGTTCAATCAAACCCATATAATGACCATTTCATAAGATTTTCAGATGGTATTAAAAATGTAATTGATAGATTAAAATATGAACAGATTGACAATATCGAATTTTTGGAATTTTGGTTTAAATATCCCGATGGAAAAAAGATTGAAGTTAAAGATAAAGCTGATACTATAACAAAAACAATTACAATGACCGATCCAGATAGTGGGGAACAAAAAAATAAAACAAACGATAGAAACTGGTGAAAGGTCAATTATTATCGATTATGATTCAAAGGATTATTATTCGATAATGTTAATGCTTGAATATTAAATAGCCTTAACAAAGAATTTTTCAAGTGATATTTTATATTCATCAACTATTTTATTATAAATATCATTATATGTTAAATGAAGTTCAGTTGTTGTTCCGTTCTTTGATATCTTAATTGTGCTAATATCCTTTATAGGATTTATTTTTGCAACTGTTCCGCAGCATGAAACCTCATCATCTATGAAAAATTGAATCTTAACGTCTGAATCTTGAACATCACAAAGAATGGCGATAATGTGAATTAATGATTCATAAGGTAAAATAATTAAACCGGATTGGTCAATTAAATTTATTATTGAATCATAATTATTAATTATTATATCACGGTAAATTTTCATTAATTCAGAATTAATGTCTATTTTATATGGGTTATCAAGTGGTGCTGGGTATGTTGGATAAGTGGGAATTTCAACAGGTTCTTTACCGGGTTCAGATAAAATGATTGGTCTCCATTCTCATGGTTTTCTTCATTCTCCTCATTCTTCGGTAAGTCACGAGTTAATAAATTTGGTTGAGTTGCTGACCTTGTTAATTCAGGCTAACATTAACTTTAACATTTTGAATAATTCGTGATTTATCATCATTTACGTTATAACCAACCGTAATCTCTGCTTTTGCGTTTGTGTTCTTTTGACTTGTGAAACGTCTTCTCATTTATAATTGAATAAAAAAAAGAAAAATATATTTAAAGTTTTATTTAGTTGTTACGGTAATATCCCAAGGTTCATCATTGTTTGCTTATACTTTCTTTGTAACTGCACCAATTATGTTATTGATATTGCTTTGAGTTTCTTCCAGTCTTATTTTATCATTTACAATATCTTTAATCATTTCATTACATGCATTCTTAAAACCATCTGATTTTTCTAATTTACGTCTATCACTTTCTTTAATTAAATCAAAGTTATAACCTTGTTGAGAATAAAGTGGTTTCTTTATCAATTCCTTGAACGCTTCTGAAAGTGAAGATGAAGAAATTCTTGCCACTTGAATTGGTTTAAATTCTGCTTTCATTGCTTCTTTCTGTTCATTGAACACTGGATCGAATAAAGCAACTTTAAAGAATTTCTTAGCTGGAATTTCAGGTCTCAAATTGCATATTGACCATCAAACTGATTAACATATCGTGGTAATCCATCCGGTCCCTCTTCAACAGCATTTAATTCTTCATTGAAATAAGAATATGGAATAAGATGGTATGAATAATTGGACCATTTTCACCTTCTCCAATGTATTGTTTAACAGCTTTTCCATTTTCATCAAATTGCATAGGATAACGTTCATTATATGCTTTACGTTTAGGATAATCAGATATTAATTTATACCATTTATGACTTTAATATTACCTTGACCATCAGTAACGAAAACTTCATTTATACCATCAGGTTTTCCATTTGGTCCTGTAATGTCTGCTTCATGTGCTTCCCAATTTGGTCCATGACGTTTGGCATATGCTTGAGCTTCTGGTAATGTTAAAACGTTTCTCATTTGTTTAACATTTTTGAAGACCAGCAACAATATGAACTAATTCTTTCATTCCATCTGGAACTTTCATAGTTCTATTATATGCACCCTTTTTGTTTGTCCCCTGTTTTAATGGAACCTGTAGAAGATTTGCTATTTCTGTCATGTTTAATTATATAAAAAAAATAAAAATTAATTATAAAAAGTTAATCAAATTTAACACCTCCTTTATTTAAATCAACTATTATTTTTCCATGTTCACCTAATTGTTGATATTGTGTGTAAAGTTCATTAATGCTCATTGGTAAATTCACTTGATAAAGCATAACGTTCAACTGTTGACGACTAAAACCACTGAAAATGAAAAGTGTTGATAGATTTGATTTAATGTTTGTGCTTAATGCTTTGAAGTATTGAACAGCCATGAAGAATGAACACTGAATGTGTCGACATTGAGTTAATAACTGATTAAAATATGATTTCTCATTAGTTATTAGTTTTGATTTCACGGCATCATCTAGAAAAATTAGTGAATGCAAAAATTCTCTATCAAAATTTGAAATAGAAAGTGTTTCAAATAATTCATCCCGTTGTTTATCAATAATTTTATCCTCTAATCCTTGCTTCTTGATTGTATTATATAATTCTTTATACATTAAAAAGTTTTTTAAATAATCTTCTGCTTCTTCTTGTGATAAATAAATAATTGGAATTTTGATTAAATGCTTTAAAGATTCAAATGTATCATCTGAAGGTGAACCTGAACGGTTGATATAAATTAACACATGTGAATGGGGGAAGTGTTAGCAATAATGATAATTTGTTTTAATATCGTTAATGTTTTACCTTTATTCTGTTTACCAATTGCTGCAGTGATTGAATTTAAGTAACATTCAGAATATGGAATTTTCATTAATTTTTCCTTAGATAGAGCATTTCTATTATCACTCAATGCTTCATTAATCATATCATCTACGTATGTATTATATACATCTGTTAATTCTTCAGAATTGAAATCCATTTAATCAAAAATAAATTTATAATTTTAAACATTTCTATTCATCAATATTTCATCATATGAACTTCTATACTGTGGTGGTGTACCTGTTGGATGATATTTCAAACCTTCATCCGGTGTCCATGTCCAATATGTAGTCCTAGTAAACCAAACCTGAGGAGGATTTGTCACCTTTGAACAGTAAGTGTCATTTTCACCCTGAATGATTGGATAAGCTTTCACTTGTACTGTAACTTGTGAGTTGAAAGTTTCTAATCCATCAAAGAATATACCCGCTCCATCACGTTGAACTGGAATAGTGCATAAGAATGAAGTTTGGTCTTTCCATGTTCTAGCTAATGGCGTGCCATTATCATCATTCAGTGGTCTAGTTAATGAGTCCTCGTATTCTTCTGTGCATTCATTCACTCCATCTAAATCAGAAGCTTGAAGCATACGTGTAAAGAATATGTCACCCACTGTGGTCATCGCTTGATCGGGGAAGTTTCTGGAATCTATAGTGACCTGAAGACCTCGAAGCATTGGATTTTCTAAAACTGTTCTTTGCATTGCATTCTTCGGAAATGTTAACACAACATCTGTAACATTATGAAGAGCGTATGAGAAATCTGAGCTGATACCTTCAGGAGTGATGCAACCTCCATTTAGTGAACGAACGTCAATATGTTGAGCTGGAATCATGAATGGATCTTCCTTACTGAATAAACGTGGTATTGCTTTAACTGATTCTTCAATTAAACCGTATCCTGGTGTAATGCATTTATCCTCTAAAACTTCCATCTTTGTGCATGAAATAATAACGTTATCAACTGTTGCGTCAGCAGATGTAGCGGCTAAGCTTGTAATTAATTTGGCAGGAAGTCCGATTTGTTGGAATTTGCGATCATATTTATAAACATGATTCATAATCTTTTCATAATTTTCATCAGTTATCTTTTCATAAACGTAATTTTGTAAATCAGCAACTCTTAACGGGTCAACCTGACAAAATACTAAAGTATCCCTGAAAACATAATATTTAAGAATGATATCACCAAATGATTTAGGATAATCATCGAACGCCTGAAATGCTAACAAATCATTTACCGGAATAATCATATCAAAAGTGATATCAACTTCTTCATTTGCTTTCTTGAAAACTTCTGAAGGGTCAATATATTTACCACATACTGAGTTATCATATTTTTGAACATTATTATATAACGAATGAACAAACTTTTTAACTTTCCTTTCTGATTTTGGTTTATATGTTGCAAATGCGAAAGATTCACGGGCGCAATCCATCTG